ACTCACATATAGCTTGTGGTCCACTATGACCCCTAGATCCCTTTCTGCTGTACTCCTTCCTACACAGTCGCTTCCCATTCTATATGTGTGAGACTGATTGTTCCTCCTAAGTGAAGCACTTTGCATTTGTCCTTATTAAACTTCACCCTATTTACCTCAGACCATTTCTCCAGTTTGTCCAGATCATTTTGAATTATGACCCGATCCTCCAAAGCAGTTGCAACCCCTCCCAGCTTCGTATCCCTTTGCTTCCCTTTTCAATTTTCAACAATTCTTAGCTTTTGATTTATACCGATCACTATCAACTTCTTTTTATTCCCTTCGATACACATCATTTAAAAAATAGTTTATAGTTGCTTTCCTGTGCCTTCTAATTTGGGTCAGATTTTTAACCATTATGGTGACATTCTTTGGCTTTTGGGACATCTTAAACAATTTAAATCAAGTACATTTTTCTGCCTAAATTCTTCCTCCCGGCTGGTTCATCTCATAATTGTTTTCGCTTTCTGAAACTGGCCCTTTCAAACTCTGGATAGAAATACAGCTGTGATAAGTTCCTCTTTATGACTGCAGATAAGGACTAATATAGAATACTCCCATAGCAGATGCAACATGTTTTGAGTTGGGAAATTGTCGTGTATAATACAAAATTCTGAGAATATTTTAGTATGAGCAGCACCAGACCACCAGCGCGTATCACTCACTATGAACTCCCCATAGTCACACAGCTTTATCCCTACACATATTAAGAGCGGCATGAGGAGCTGCTCATCCTGCTCCTTTGTGTGACTGGGTGATCTACCTGTGTTACCCCCCAGCTAACCCCCATCTTGTGTGTATCAGTTAGGACACTGCCCCATAACCATTCACGGTCATTTTCTTCCAAGAGCTCAATGACTCGGGAACATGTCGGACTCTCTACAGAAAAGGTGCAAACAGCAGAAGTCCCTAATTTCGAACCCAGCCAGAGTAGCATGCATTTCCATAGAAATGGGAATCCCCTGCCAAATTTCAGATCCAGGCACCAACCCTGAAGTCACTAGAGCTCCTTAAAAAAATACTCAGAAAAATGGATTTCTCTGGAAAAACCCACCTGTGCTATAACGTGTTCTCTGAAATGGCTCAGCTTGTTTCTGCTGAAAGTTTACAAAAACATTCAGCCTCATTTCTCAGCAGGCTCCTCCCCCCACTCCTGCCAGGGCTTTCCCAGCATCCCAGCTACTGCCCGGCCACTGACCACAGGGGGTCCTGCCCCCAGGCCTGTAACCAATGCGAGGGGCCCCCTGGCCGCCTGGGCCTTTGCCAGCCAGAACCGTCAGACTCGGATCCAGCAGCGGGGGGTGGTGGGTAAATATTGTCCTAGCTGCATGTACCAGCCCCCGCCAGAGACCTGACCCGACCCTTCTGTGCCCGGCCCACAGGCGAAGCTCCGGCCCCAGAGTTTATATCAGGGCCCAACAGGCTGGTCCCCGGCTCAGAGCGTGGGAGGGAGGAAGAAGGACTCAGAGGGGCGTGATGGTGGGTAAATATTGTCCTAGGTGCGTGTGCCAGCCCCCGCCAGAGACCTGACCCGACCCTTCTGTGCCCGGCCCACAGGCGAAGCTCCGGCCCCAGAGTCTATATCAGGGCCCAGCAGGCTGGTCCCCGGCTCAGAGCGTGGGAGGGAGGAAGAAGGACTCAGAGGGGCGTGACGTGTGTGTGTCCCTTGTCCCAGCACGTCTGCCTGCACCCAGGAATGGGGGCCCCGGTAACCCCGGCCGGCCTGCTGCTCCTCCTGCACCTCACAGCTGGGACGTCTGCAGAGCCGTAAGCCCTGTCCGTGTCTGTCTGTCTGTCTGTGTGTAGTGGGCTGCTTGACCAGAAGCTGAGGGGACAGATCCATTCTCCCCGGGAGCTCAGCCCCTGATGCTGGGTCCCTGATGGGGCCCCCCTTTTCCTAGCTCCCAGAGGCAGGGGGAGCTTGGCTCTGGCTGAGCAGTGGCTTGGGGTGCAGGAGAGCTGGGTTCAGTGCCCACCTCTGCGCAGACGCCCTGTGCGCCCTCAGCCAGACACCCCCTCTCTGTGCCTCAGCCCCTCTGTACCATGGGCTGGTAATCCCCTGGGGCCACCGGCTCCCTCAGCCACAGATGGCCTGGCTCCGGTAATGGGTCTGTCCAACCCTGGTGCAGGGGCAAGCGAGAGGCCAGGGATGGGCAGGGACTCAGCTCCTCTCTGTGCCCTGGGGGCCCCTCCAGGTCCATGGGGCGAAAGAGCAGGGGGTGTTTGCCCTGCCCTGCAGCTAGAGAGATAAATCAGCCTCCAGCACCACAGACCCAGCTCTGTCCCCCACAGGAGCCACCGGTAATGGGTCTGTCCAACCCTGGTGCAGGGGCAAGCGAGAGGCCAGGGATGGGCAGGGACTCAGCTCCTCTCTGTGCCCTGGGGGCCCCTCCAGGTCCATGGGGCGAAAGAGCAGGGGGTGTTTGCCCTGCCCTGCAGCTAGAGAGATAAATCAGCCTCCAGCACCACAGACCCAGCTCTGTCCCCCACAGGAGCCACCCCTCTCTGGGCTCTCCCCTCCCCTGCCCCTACCCCCCACCCACGGTGCTA